TTTTTAGCTGTCCAATTAATTTCTTTCTATTTTTGGTACAGACGGGGTCTCGCTCTTGCTCAGGCTGGTTTCGAACTCCTGAACTCAAACGATCCACCCGCCTCGGCCTCCCAGAGTGCTAGGATTACAGGCGTGAGCCACCGCGCCCGGCCATAACATTTGTATTTTAGACTTTTGAAAGACATTTGTATTTTACAGTAATGGTATGTATTAAATTTAATTATTGGTCTCTGATACACAAACTCAAAGTTAATAAGGCAATAATATTAGTTTCCTCATCTATAAAATGTGCAAATTGCAATGTATGATCTCTAAGGTTTCACTGAGCTCTGAAATAATACTCTAATTCCAAAAGCTGGATAAAAGGATCTTATCCCTGATAGTATCAGAAAGTATACATGTGTAATTAAATATTTTTATACTAAACCATCAATATCAATGTATTTCACCAACAGCAACTTGCCTTGTATGTGAAGTTATAAATGTCTAGGTAATGCAGAAAAGTGAGTCCAATGAGGTAAGACTGATGCGATCTCTCTGGAAGAGGCAGGCTACAGAATTCTTTCATCGCATCTTCCAGTTTGGGATTGGTAACATTAGCATCACAAGAATGTAACCAGAACACCCGAGAAATAATCTACAAATTGGAAAAAGAAAAATATTTTAGCTGTGAATCACTGGACAGTCATCCGTCCATTTGGGGTTTTTTTAATACACTCTAAGTTTTAAAATATGACAAATTTTCCTCAAAAATCAAATTGGTGCTTATTTAAAGCACTAATTACTATTATAGAGAACCCACTGTTCACTGGAAAACTTACAAAATAAGGTGGGAAAAGAGAGACAGAGACATCCAGGATGACTCCAGGATTTCTTGTCTGTACAGCTGGCAAATGAAGGATGGTATCAAGAAAGATAATTGGTTTGGAATAAGTTTGGGGAAAATATTTGATTAAGACTCAGCTGCCTTTAAAATTTTACCCTTAGTTAATTCAGATGGCATTTAGTTTTTATAATCATTCAAAGTTATAATCTTCTACAATATACTCTGTGGGTCCAGAGACATAAAACAAACAAAACAAAAAGCCCAGGATCATACAATAGCGTGAATCACCCCTCTGGACAGTGAAGCTCCTGCAGGTAGTGAGGCATGACTGTCAGGGATAGGATGCCATCTCCGTTGCCCCCAAGTTAAAATAAAGAGAAAAGCTTATGAAATTCAAGATTGCAGAAACTTTTCACTCTTTCCTCTTGAAAATTATAAAAATGTAAGCTCTCCATTTACATATTTTTATTTAATAAAACAAACCTGTTCTTCCAAAGCCAGAAACATGATTGCTGAGAGTAGATCTTAGGATCAAAGGAGCAAAAGGTGAGATCAAAGGGAAAAGGTAAACGAATATTATTTGCTAGTACAAGAGAAAGAAAAATGTAGGCAAAGGTGTTTTAATTTTTGTGTGGGGAACCAATTAAAATGACACGAGGTAAATTCAATATATTCCAAAGGGAGCCTTAAAGGCTTTTAAAAAACTTTATCCAATATTGGAAAATAACTGGGCTGTGCTTAGAAATGACACAGTCTGTCACACATAAGTTTTGAATGGATGAGGCGTTAAGCTCTGCGGCTCTTTTGGAAAATTTCTATGACACTCCCAGACAATGGACTTGGAAAAGGAATAAAAGATAAGACATTTTGAGTGGAAAAACCATATTATCAGCCTATGAGGAAATGACATGATGCATTTTCACACCAAAAAGTGTTTACTACAACCACAAACTTACTCATAGCTCCCTTGACCACATCTATTGTATGTGCCATGTCTTGTCTTGGGACTTAAAAAATAAAAATGAGTATCCATTTTTATTTGAGTTGCAACAAACAGAAAATAGTCTCCATACTTCTTTCCCCAATTAGGTTACTGAAATTTGACTTTGATATCATTACAGTAGGTGCAAATTGCGCTCAGACAATGAGACTGTGATAATGAATATAATTCTTTACTGATGGCCCCAATTGTTTAAGAATGCCATCTGGGGGTGAAGAAAAGAAGAGAATAAAGGAGACAGGGGGCAGACAGAGAAGGAAAAACAAAGGAAAAGGAACACACAGTGACAATATTCTTGCTTCAGAATTTTTCTTCTGTCTTCACGTAAAAATTAGGCCTCTAATTTTATCATTTGTATGGAAAATTCTCCAGCTTTACATGCAACTTGTTCTTGACAAATACTAAATGCTACTTAAACTTCTAAAAACTGCATGTGAGTACAAGCACTTGACACTCTACCTCAGCCCTGTTATCAGGGATAGGAACGGCCAGCAGCTTATCAATACTCCTGTTGGACATTCCTGTCATTCTCCTCAGTTCTTCTTTCAGTTCTTCAACATTTTTAAACATTTCTATTAACTGACCTGCAAGGAAAAAAAAAAAAAACTTACATGCTGGTTGTAATGTCATTCTATTTAGTCACCGTTGCATACAGAAAACTTCTAGACTAAAACGTATATTCAACATACATGCCTGTCAGGAACAGATGTCCCCCAGTTTGGGCAAACTTTGTGTACCTTTAGGATCTATTTCTATCTAAGTTAGATTTGTTCTTATTATGATATCATTAACTCAAGGTAACAGCTTGCTCTGGGTTATAAATTTTCCTTAGGTATCTACAATACGAAGGTAATTTAAAGAAGATATGGTTTCCTCACATAATGCACTAAACAAATATCTCTCCATTTGATTTAAAACATCACACAAATTTAAAGTGCTTTTAAACCTAGGATCATATTAATATTGTCAGCTTAGGACAAGGTTTGATAAATTCACAACATAACATCATAGGGCTTTTTTCCTTAACTTTCTCTAGCACAC